GGGCCGGTGCCCTGCAGGAGCCGCGGGCCGAGCGCCGGGCGGCGAGGAGGAACGCGGAGCATGTGGAAGCTCAGCCGGAGCCGGGTGCTGCTGGACGAGCCCCCCGAGGAGGAGGACGGCTTGCAGGGGGGGGCCCCGCCCGCAGTCCCCACCCCGGTACAGGTGAGGGGGCGCACAGGTGGGGGGCGTGCCGGTAGTGGATGCGGGTAGGTGGGGGGCGCGCAGGTGGACGGGGCGCGTAAACCGGGACGCGCAGGCCGGGGCAGAGTCGGGGTGCGCAGGTAGGGTGGGAGCCACGTAGGTAGGGGCGGCGTTTGTGAGGATCCCGACTGCAGAGTCAGAACTTGCCCCAAGGATTGTCCGAGGTTCCACAGTTGCTGGTGTCGACCCCCCAGTTAGTAGACAGGAAAGCCGGCGTCCTGGCGGGTTGCGGGGGTTCTAGAACCCCTGAAACGCGTTGGTTCACTAGGGGGCTGTCCCCGAGAACACTGCGGGCCGGCGGCGCTGCCCTCAGCGTCCCCCAGAGTGGGGCTCGCGGCCTTCGAGACGTGGCAGTGCGCGGCTCCCGGGCAGGTGTTCCGAGGCCCGGCCGGCGCAGGCCTGATTCATCTGGCTCTGTGACCTCTCTTCCAGGAGACCAAGATGCCCCTGATGACCACAGAGAAATGCTCAAGTGGGCTGAATATTTGTTTGCGTAAACAATATTTCCTTTTCTTAAACCTTTGAGTTTTCTGGGGGGAAAGCAGAAGTCCTTTATACAGAACATTGAAGGAACATTGGCCAGCAAGTGCAGAGATATGTTTGGTATGTCTAGAATTTTTTAATTAAAAAGGATCCCAGGTGGATCCTGTGTGCATTACATATGCTAACTCATTCTACACAGTAACGCAGAATCCCTTTTACCCCAACGCAGTATTCCTCATGTGCAACAAAATTTAGGTCAGAAATCCAGCTTTTTTCTTAAACGAGGGTCACAAAATTTATTTTCGTGTGAAATATTTGGCAACTTTCTCCTGCTACTCTCAAGCTGTGGAGAAGGGAATGATCTCTCTCTTTGGAGAGATTGTTCCTTCTCCGGTTGGAGCAAAAAGAATTTCTTAGGTAATGAAGTTGTTTCATTTCTTACAGGAGTTAAATTCAGTTCCCCCATCACAGAAATGGGATTACCTTATACTTGTCTTCGGTATTTGATACGGTTATTTTCTGAACTTGTCTTTGAGAAATTACTTTTCAACAGTTAGTGCTTAGCTACCTCTTTTTAAATCTCAAAATATGGTTACTCTATTAGCAAGTCTTTTCTTAATATAATGGTGGATTTATATGTGGTTACAGGGTTGAGGGAAGGAGCTGTAAATAAATAAGGTTGGTCAAAGGTGAACAGAATCATTGTGCATGGATGAACGCTTGGAAATTTTAAATTGAGCCTTCCCGTGTTGTTTCTATTTCTTCTAATGAATACTGGAAAAACCACTTTTTCCTCTTAAGTTCTTATTTTGCAGTTTTTTGTTTTGTTTTGTTTTGGCCGGGGCTGGGTTTGAACCCTCCACCTCCGATATATGAGGCCAGCTCCCTACTCCTCTGAGCCACAGGCACTGCCCTTAAGTTTTTATTTTGAAAAAATTTCTGACATACAGAACTGTAGGAAGACAGATTGACACCCCCATACCTGCCATCTAGATTCCGTCATCGGCAACAAATTTGTTAAGGCTCTTTGCCTGATCATCTGTTTATACAATTGTCATCTATACCCTTTATGTACTCAAGAACAAAACAAAAAACCAAAAACTCCTTTTAAAATAGATTTTTTTAGGTACCCAGCAAATTTCAAGGGAAAGTGGAAAGTGCAGAGAATTCCCATGTGCCCACCGATTATACCCCCTCTTCCTTACTCGCTGTCACTCAGCATCTCCTTCCCCCCATTTGTCACAATCTGTGGTCCTGTGTTGACACAGATTCACCCAGAATCCATCCTTTACATTAAGGCTCACTCTTCATGGTTTACATGGTGTGTACAAATCAATAATGACTGGCATCCGCCACTTTCACTGCTCTAAGAACTCTCCACGCTCCACCTGTTCTACTGTTTCCATTGTTATTTCCAGAATGTCATAGACTTAGAGTCACACAGTTTGTCCCTTTCAGACTGGCTGTTTTCACTTGGTAACATGCATTTAAGTCTCTTCCATGTCTTTTCATGGGTTGAGAGCCATTTCCTTTTAGCCCTGAGTATTATTCCATTGTATGACGTGCCACAGTTTATACATTCACCTGTTGAAGGGCATCTTGGTTGCCTCCAAGTTTTGGCAGTTGTGAATAAAGCTCGCTGTAAACATCTCTGGGCAGGTTTGTGTGTCGACATAGGTTTTCAACTTATTTGGGTAAATACCAAGGAGCACAACTGCTGGATCATATGGTAAAGGTGTGTTTCATTTTCCAAGCTGTTTTCGAAAGTGGATGCACCATTTTTGTGTCCCCAGCAGCAGTGATAGACAGTTCCTGCTGCTCTACATCCTTGCCAGTGTTTGGTGTTGTCCGTGTCTGGATTCTGTTCATTCTGATAGGAGAGAAGTGCTGGTGGTGCTGCCCAACATGCATGGAAGCCAATACCATGGCACCTGCCTTTGAAAAAAGAAAAGCTTTATGGCAAGTCAACCTGGAGGGAGACAGGAGCTTAGGAGGTAATGGTCACATCTCTCTCTAAGGTGAAGACTTGGTTGGGTTTTATAAGCATAGCATGAGGTGTCATTTGATTGGATCTTGCAATGGAGTGATGCTGGGAGCCTTCTTCAGATTGGACCATGCCCCAGAGTGACACAGAGCTCACTCTGATTGGGTCCTGGATCCTGCCTTGCTGTGCCGCCTCTTAATTCAGTCCTGGCTTCTGGGCCTGAGCACCTTGGTTCCACCTGTGTTTACTGACATCATCCAACAGAGCATGTGCAGCCCAGTGGCCCCAACCTGGGGGTCCTTGGTAAAGGTTGGGCTGGATTGTGGTGGTGCTCACAGGGTCTCCTTGTCTGGCTTTCATTTTCCTGATGACATGTGATGTGAAGCAACTTATGTTCTTGTCATCCGTATGTCTTCTTTGGTTCAGTATCTGTTCAGACCTTTTGATCCATTTTTTAATTACATTGTTTGATTTCTTACTGTTGAGTTTTAAATGCTGTTTGTATATTTTGGACACCAGTCCTTATACCTACATGTTTTACAGAGATTTTCTCCCAGTCTGTAGCTTGTCTTTTCGTTCTGTGCACAGTGTCTTTCACAGAACAGAAGTTGTTAATTTTAATGAAGTCCAGCTTATAAATTATTTCTTTCACAGATTGTATCTTTGGTGCTGTATCTAAAAAGTCATTGCCAAACCCACCATCATCTAGGCTTTATCCTGTGTCATCTTCCTAGGACTGAGTTTTGACTGTCGTTTTTATGTTACTTTATTAAGAGTATCTATAGTTTAATGTGTTCTTTGCTTGGGAAAAATTTTGTTAATTATGACAGGTTAGTCATACTCTAAATTTAGTTAATTTCTTCTGGAGGACTGATCTTTATCTCAAAGCTAACTTCTCTTAGAATTAACTTTTAAATTCACGAAAAGTCTACCACAAAACTTCTGCCAAGAAAATTTTGTTTTAAAGTTGAAAAGTAGGAATTAATATATAAGTAGGATTTAATGAGCGTTGAATTTGCTGTCATATGAGAAAGAAATTCTCAGTTCTGTGTCATTTTTAGTCTCTCACGTCCCCCATTTGTCAGTCAGTCTGAAAGTGAACAGGCAGGTTGGGAGTGCCTGCCTGGCTCCAGAAAGGTGTTCACTCCGCAGTTCAGCCCATCCTGTCCACTTCCTCGCATATCAGGTCACACAGCTAGAATCTGGCCTTTTAAACGAACAAAATAGATAATGTTAAGTTCTAATCAATTTGAAATGTGAGGCCTTCAGAATCATTACTTGGATGTCAGGGACACTTAACTGTTACTGAAATGTTTTAACATTGTAGAAAATAAATTTCTCTAAGGTTCTTCTAAGCTATTAGTCTTTTTAATTCATAAGTACACACTTATTTTGTATTAAAATATAACAGTGAGGTTTACAAGGAGAATTGTTCACTGAAGTCGCTTAACAAGGAGACACAGGTTTTCATGAGTCTGATGTTTACTTATTTAATAAAAGGATACTTTGATGCAAATATCTGTGGATATCAACTGTTACGTCTTCACTTCTTGAACCTTGCGGAGGTGAAGCCTGTTAAACTCTTACCTGTGTTTAGAAGCACATGTTTGCTACTACTGATCCTCACTCTGACTTGTTCCTGTGTCCCAAGAGCACATCACCTTCAACACTGCCAGTTGGAAAAACCCATCTTCCAGGGTGTGTGGTGTCAAATGCTATCGAATGGCTATACCAGAATTCCTTTATCTGACCTCTTCAGATGCACATTGAGGCTGCCAGGCCACTTTTCTTAACCTTTGTCCCTCAAAGATTTATGGAAATAGTGGAGAAAGGAGCACAGAGATGCTTTCCACAGTTCAGAGGGGTTTTTTGGTTGCCTCTGAACTGGATTGCACAGAGATTTAACTAGCTTTAAACTAATGGATTTACAAACAAACGTCAGGGAAATTTTGACAATATTTTCACGTTAAAAAATTTAAAAAGGCTTAGGAACATTTTCTATAGGCGTTACAAAGAAAAAAAAGAATCAAGGACTGTTTGGGGTATTTTAAAATCAGACTTTGAAGAAGGGAAGAACCAAGTAGTACTAAATCTCGGTTTGTATCTCACAAAATCATTATTTTGTGATCCTGAGGGGCTTCTGTCGATGATGTTTGCATCAGTGCTGTTTGGGAAGAAAGGAGCGGAATGAACTGGAGAGTTGGTGGTTGGTCTGCTCTGCAGCGCCTGAGGGTGGTTGGAAGGATGACACATTGGGATTGCACCACAGAATGCCCCTTGGTGATTCCATCCTGTCCCCTCCCTACCTCTATAGCTTTACTTTTTTCCATTCTCAAAAATAAATGCAATTATGCACCTCCTCTACTCCAGGAACTAAGTGCTGTAAGTGCTTTTACACCTGGCTCTTCCCACTCAGCAAAAAGTTGTAGACCTTTCCGTATCAATAGACCAAATGATTTTCCTGTATCAGCACATAAAGGGTTTCCTCTTTCTA